GTATGCGTAGGTTTTCTATAGACTTTTGTGTTCAATTTACCACTTTGCAGTCTAATAACTTGACAATCTAGGAAGTTTATTTCCTTCTCGCTTGAAACCACCGTGAATTTGATGTTTTCATGGTGGGAATTCAAAAATAAGGTAAATTCTTCCAACATGTGTTTTTCTATCACTACAAATATGTCGTCCACGTATGGCCACCAGATTCTAGGGGGATTCACGAAGGAATTGAGAAGTTTGCATTCCAAGTTCTCCATGAAAATGTTGGCAACAATTGGGGAGATAGGAGATACCATGGCGATACCTCCGGTTTGTTGGTACAAAGTATTATTACACACAAAATATGTGGATTTCAAACACAATGAAGTGGCTTTAATAATGTCATTGACTGTTAGGGAAGTACGTTGACTCAACAAATGATCATTTAAAAGTAAGGTATATAAGACAGAAAGACATTCATCTATTGGGATTTGAGGAAACAAAGATACAATGTCATAACTAGCCAGGCATTCGGTGTCTTGCATGCAAGTATCCTTAAGTTTATGTACAAAATGCGTGGAGTCTTTGATGAAATGTTCATTGAGAGATTGTAAGGGTTTTAAAATCTGGGATATGTACTTCGCTAATGTATAGTTAGGAGTCCCAGTGTAATCAACAATAGGTCCTAATGGTTTGCCAGGTTTGTGGATTTTTGGCAGTTCGTAAAAACGTGCGGGGGAATTGGACTTCGGGTACAGACGAAACCAAAGTGACTTACCCAACTTTAATTTCAGATCTCGTAACAGGCTCGCCGTTGTAGCCAGTTATCACAATTACATATTCCGTTTGTAAGCTCTGATTTCCTTCACAGAAGTTCCCTCTCACCACCTGTTTAATCTATCATAAATTGCACTGTGCTGTGTTATGCTTCATCCAGAGCTCACGTCATCCGTTGCATTGCCTCGTATCACAGCTTTTGAAATTCTTACCTGTTATATCACTGTCTGAAACCTATCGGCCTACTACTTGTGTATCTTTTTCGTCTTGCACTAGCTCCAACTAAAAACACCCTGGAGTACGTATGACAACATACAACTCCATCATAGTTCTTTCTCTGGCCCGATGATATATCGGGTAGTCTACGTGATTTATTCACAGAACAATGTAATTGATTTAATTGCCTCTCTATCTGTCGAGTGTTTGATAGTTAAATGTGCGCCGGAGGGTTTGATGGAGCAATTTTTAATTGAACTGACATTCATACCGCACGCAACCAACCGACAGAAATAATAGGACCAAGTGGATAATACGACAGTTTTCCGGCGCGGCACCAAATAACGAATTTCCAAAGGATTAGTCTGGTCGATGATGTTCGCCTGATTGCACCACAATGCCTTTTTGGTACAGTATCCATTGATTTCCCCGAATCACATGACTTGAACATACCGGTTGGTAGTCCACGTGACCCTATCGGGTCACAGAGAGAGAGAGAGAGATACGTGCGCACATTCGGAAGGAATTGGCACGGTTTCCGATCCAATCAGACCACCCAGCCCATTCTTAGTTTGGACGAGGGGATGAAGAATTGATTGACTACTAGTGTAGAACCGGCACAAAACCACGTTTTGCACAACATTCCTAATGAACAGACCGGATTTCAAGCCACATTGACCGGTGTAGTTCGAACTGTAGTTCGTAGTTCGGTGTCAATTTTCCCAATTGGGAAAAAATGAGTACGGTTAGATTTTCGTTCGCATAATGGGACGGTTATAGACGGATACTGATGCAAATATTCCAAGAAAACATACACGTCTGACAAACCAAAATATTCTTCAAAATTCATTTTCAACCACATCGAATTCTATTTCATTGCTTTTCTTTTTGTGACCAGAATCACTGGGGGTGAACTTTTCGAGCGAATTATTGATGAATCGTTTGACCTAAACGAGTCCAGGTGTATTCGATTCATGAATGAAATTCTCCAAGGTGTAGAATATATTCACAATCAGGGAGTTCTACATCTGGATCTTAAGGTGAGTTCTCCGTTAATTTCTGCTTGTCATACTTTCATCTTCTCTGATAACCGTATAATGCGACTGCGGTGTCAGTAATTGCTTTTTCGTAGATCGAACAGTTTTGCTTAGTCAACCTCGTTTTCCTTTATGTTTCACTGTATTCGCCCTACTCTATTACTCTCTGGCTACATTCATAGGCCTACGGAAGCAAGATTTTAAATTCATTTAACGGTAATCGAAGTGGAAATTTGAATTACAATCACAATCGATACGCGGAACCGCATCGGTTATGGTTGACCGAGATTTCTCCACACCGAGATGCAGGAAGGTCATATGTATTTCTTTTAAATAAAGGTAATCAGATGAACTAAATAAGTTAACAGTCAATAACCAATCACCGTTCGTATTCTCAACGTCACAGGACTCCTGTTTGAAGCACGTGATTGTTCATTCGTCCAGAATGTGGGAATCCGATTGATTATCTTGAGGCTGTACCCCCTAATTTCTTGAGTTGCGTTTTCTCGTAGGGTTAGATCACCTCGCCTACATCTCACGGTCTTTTGATTATTTACTGTTTTTTAATTTCTGCAAATGAATTAACTTTGAAACGGTTGATCATCATTCTGCCTGCCGTTTTTTCACTGTGAAACTGGCTATATCAGACTCTAAGAACCTTTTCCGTAATGAGTTATTTTGCTGCCGTTCTCCCCTTACCCCATTCCCTCTTGAATATATATATATATATATATATATATATATATATATATCA